CAAAAGGTAAATATATGTATTTCAATGAATGAATGAATAATACGGACGTTCAACAAAGCGTATAAAGTTGAGAAGGTGTGTATTTTATCACGCAACGCATTGAATTAGGTCAAACAATTTGTAAAATTCTAAAGGGCTAAGCAGAATGTTCGCGTTGAGCGTTTTTTGTTATCGCGTTAACGCACGCAAAAAGTTAACATCTATTTAACTTGAAAGCGCAGCGCACATTAACTTGAAGCGTTAGTGTTATCGTTTCCTTGTGGGTTTTGTATTTTCGATAACACATAAGCGACGAATGGCTCAACGCCAACATTCTGATTAGCCCTCCATAAATTCTTCATGTGCACAATGCGGGCCATTAAGTGAAGCACACTGTGAATGCCTTATTTGATGTGTACATCCTTATCAATGTATTTGTTTTATAATGTCAATTGTCTTCCTTTTTGTGTACACTCCTCACAGCTACTAGATTAATTTATATGCCCTTAAACCGCTGTTTTTCTTTAACAAATTGAAATTAGTAGAAGATTCCTGCAAGATATAGACTGTTCCGTTACTATAATGCTGTTTCTAAATCCGAATGATTTCCAATATCTCATTCTCATATAAGTCACCTGAATTTGTTTCATTTTGAAATAGATTGTTAATTCGTTGACATATTTAGGAAACAATTAAAAAAATGAATACATATTACGGAAATACATTTTAGTGCGGAATTTAAATAAATTTAATACATGTAATTCTTTTTTGTTACAGCATTACATGTCTTTAGGTCTTCAGGATGAAATTAAAATCACAGATTTTTATTTATGTATGTTTTTATTTATTTATAACATTTATATTATTATTCTGCATATGTTTTTGCTATTACTGGCTTTAAGTATCTTTTAAGTATGTTTTCAATACATTTTTAATAAGTGCTTACGCTATTAAGACGTCGTCGGGATAGATTGGAACGATTATCGTATTGACGTTTGGGCATTTGTCCAAAAGCAGTTTGAATTTAGGCAACAAGTCATGGGATGTAATAACAGTTGTCACTTCTGTTTCACTTATGCAGTGAGCCACGCCTTCATCTCCCAATGTTGCATATACCGTCGCATAGCCGCAAGCTTTCTGGAACAGTAAGCCGAACCTTTCCGGAACAGTAAGCCGACGGAAGCTTTCCGGAACAGTAAGCCGTCGCAGCCTTTCCGGAACAGTAAGCCGTTGCATAGCAGTATGCGTAGCCAAGCTTTACGGAACAGCAAGCCGTAGCAAGTCTTCGGCAACAGTAACCCGGTGCAAGGTTTCCCAACCGCAAGCCTTCACAGATCAGTAAGCCGACGCGACGCGACGCAACCTTTCTCGACGGTAGCCCTTCACATGCTTCGATCACATTAAGTACTACACAACAGTGTGCCGTCACACAATTTCATCAACACCCATACGGTCGTACACAAGTTGTTCCTTCCGTCCTTCCTTTACTTGTAACACACTCAACTATTGACAACAGCAACACAACACAACCCTTCCATTCCACTCCACTACCTTCACCATCACCTCAGCTATATACAGGCGGTGCAACACTAAACCATCGCTGGCTGCCTAGTTGACCAAAGTTGAATAGCAATAAAATAAACAACAAAGTGTAGACGCTTTAGAATAAAATTTTAATATCGCAACACACTCAATAAATCTTCAAACAACAGTGCAACTAGACGTTAACTTATGAACACTAAAATCCTTTTAATATTCATCGATTCACACACTACGCTGACACGATACATTTGATGACACCAGCAGTGTTGCAGAAGGAATTGTCGACTTCAATGGGGTGATTGATTGCAGGAGTTGTTGTAATGGCAACGTTTTGATGAATGAGTTTTAGCAACGTTTTGATGAATGAGTTTTAGCGACGTAATTGAAAAGTTTTTCAAGTCTATCTATGTTGTACTGCAACATTTTTATATGAACATCTCTGGGAGGTTCTATTGTCCGATAACTTAATGCTGCCTCTTCACTAGACACAAGTTTTGCCTGTAATTATATGTGTATGAAATTAGTATACTTATAGAAATTTTATGAATACTTATAATCAAAATAGATGCAATGTTCTATCAGTTCCCGTCGGCCAATACGAATTTTAAATATCAAGTTTCCAAAAAAATATTTTTGTATAACATTTTGTTTATCATAGATAATACGACACATAATTGCGTATTACACTATTTAATATCTGTAAGTACTAATTTGCGAAAATTATTGGCGAACACCATTTCGCTTACCGTAGCCACAACTCCATACTAATTTTCACAATTGCATCTATCTTGACCCGTTCACTTACCAATTCTACCTGCTTCTCCAAGTTGTCTTCAAGAGCTTTCCGGAACTGTAAGCCATCCCAGGCTTTCTGGAATAGCAAGCCATGCCAAGCTTTGCAGACAGTAAGTCGCTGGAGGCTTTCCGATTACCCCATGTGTTTGGGACAGTAAGTCGCTCGGAACTACGCCGTCCTAGAAAACGCAATTGACTGTTACATTTGTTGAAGCACATGAACATTCATTGCATACTTACATTTTGCACACTTGCCAGTATTCATTTTGCCTATTGGTGTGGGCATTTTATTTGTTAATTTATGTTTATGACGCTTTATTGTGCAAAGATTGAGAGACGTTTGAAAATGAACTATTTGTTGGCGCTTTGCCTTATTCAGTTTCTTCTTAATTGGTTCATTTTCTTGTTAATTTGTCCATTTTGTTCTTAATTTGTTCATTTTGTTGTTAGTTTGTTAGTTTATGACGCCTTATTGCGCAAAGATTGAGAGACGTTTGAAAATGAAGCATTTTTTGGCGCTTTTGCAAAGAAATGAGAGATAATAAAATAAGCAGCTGTTGGCACAACAACAAAGAGCAGTGACAAGAAGAAATGTCAGATAATACTTTTAGAATTACGTGAAGCACCCTGTGAATAAGTTATTTAAGGGTGGTACCTAAATTCATGCGTATGCGTACGATTTTATTCACGTCAAAAGGTAAATATATGTATTTCAATGAATGAATGAATAATACGGACGTTCAACAAAGCGTATAAAGTTGAGAAGGTGTGTATTTTATCACGCAACGCATTGAATTAGGTCAAACAATTTGTAAAATTCTAAAGGGCTAAGCAGAATGTTCGCGTTGAGCGTTTTTTGTTATCGCGTTAACGCACGCAAAAAGTTAACATCTATTTAACTTGAAAGCGCAGCGCACATTAACTTGAAGCGTTAGTGTTATCGTTTCCTTGTGGGTTTTGTATTTTCGATAACACATAAGCGACGAATGGCTCAACGCCAACATTCTGATTAGCCCTCCATAAATTCTTCATGTGCACAATGCGGGCCATTAAGTGAAGCACACTGTGAATGCCTTATTTGATGTGTACATCCTTATCAATGTATTTGTTTTATAATGTCAATTGTCTTCCTTTTTGTGTACACTCCTCACAGCTACTAGATTAATTTATATGCCCTTAAACCGCTGTTTTTCTTTAACAAATTGAAATTAGTAGAAGATTCCTGCAAGATATAGACTGTTCCGTTACTATAATGCTGTTTCTAAATCCGAATGATTTCCAATATCTCATTTTCATATTTACAATATATTTTTGTAAAATTGTAACAAATGTTTGATTTGAAACGATAATAAATGAATTATTTTGAAAAAGAAATTGTCATAAGTCACCTGAATTTGTTTCATTTTGAAATAGATTGTTAATTCGTTGACATATTTAGGAAACAATTAAAAAAATGAATACATATTACGGAAATACATTTTAGTGCGGAATTTAAATAAATTTAATACATGTAATTCTTTTTTGTTACAGCATTACATGTCTTTAGGTCTTCAGGATGAAATTAAAATCACAGATTTTTATTTATGTATGTTTTTATTTATTTATAACATTTATATTATTATTCTGCATATGTTTTTGCTATTACTGGCTTTGTTTAAGTCTCTTTCTATCAAAAGAAAAATCCATCAGATATTTTTAGCACTAACCTTAAAATTAAGTTCACTATATTAAATAGAATTAATTTAATAACAAATTGGAGACAAAAACTAATATCCGACGTATATTTTGTTACCCCCTTATTCACAACAAAAACTTACACATAGTCTACACAGCTTAGCGGTTTAGTGTAATGTATTCTAGTGAACTGTATCAAGCACAAAATTATTAGTAAGTTTTTGGTGAAACAACTCATTTGAAATAAATACATTTACGATAGAAACGTAACATATTGTACGTTGTAATGTGTATGACTCAGTTGAGTGAAAAAGTACAGTTGATGTTTTTGAAATTTTTACGAAATACGTATAAGATAATACTTGAGAAGACTTTTTATTGGACTTCCATTACTGCTTACAGTTTTTTAAATAATAATCTAATAGTGCATAATAGCGTTTAATCTAATGAAAGATACTGATATTTCACATGATACGTACAGTGTACAGACTGTGGTATAATTTTTGTTATGAAAAAGGTTGTTAATGCAAATGAATAATAGTTGTAATTTTACATGTATGAATCGATAAGAAAATGTATTCAATACTAAATAAATTAGTACATGCAAAGCATTCATCTTAGACAAACTTGATGTATTTTCAACATTTTCACAAATATATCGAATACGATTTGCACATTATTTTAGATTGTTTATGTTTATTTTAGTTGGTAGTATTTTCTTATCAAACAAAATAATATTTTTAAAGAGGAAAACAAAATAGAATTCAAAGGATTTTGTGTGTGTTTCCATGTTATATAAATAAGAAATTTTTTCTTGCCTCGTGTTCATCATAAAGTTGTTTTTCTATTTAAGTTCAAAGCGTAATAAGGAAGTGTGGTTACTGTATGAAATTTAGAACATGCGTGTACAATTTGAAATGTTAATATTACTGGCATCTTCATAGATTAATAAATAATTTTGTGTTCCTAATATTGCTGTACTACAATTTTCATTCAATGAGAAATTTATGTGATCCACTTTAGATCGTGATGTAAGAAAAATTGAAGATAGTACATGGTTAAACTTTTCGCGAAGGTCGTACTTCCAACCGGCTAAAACTGCACCTAGTTGTTTAGTCAATTTCATGAGGCATACATCCGATTAATATCATGCTGATATTTATCTTGAATATCTTTGCGTTTCAACTTAAAAGCAGCTGTAACTAGTCCCATGTCTGGTGACCAAACTTCCTTGCATAGTGTAATGGCAGCTGGAACTTCAAACTTTTGTAGTTTACCTAAATTAAAAGAAAATGAAATGTTTAGTACTGCAGTAGTTTAAATTGGCAATCACTCGCATACATTTACGTGCATGATCGGCAATTTCTTTAATAACTGCTTTTTCTATTTCCGAATTAGAACAGAGCTCTTCAAATGTTTTGCCTTGAAGTCCATGACGGAGGGACAACTCCTCCAAGTGCTTCTGATTCGGTACAACAAGAGCAACAGTAAACTGCTTGGTTGGATCACCATATACACATATATTTTCAACAAGAGGACATGTCTTGAGTTCCGATTCCACTTTTCCAAGGGAGACGTATTCACCAGCTTGCAACTTGACCAAGTCTTTTTTGCGATCTTATTTAGAAATGAAAAAAACTAAATAAAGCAACAAATTAACGAATTATTACGCTGATACCTACCAATAATTTTAAGTACGCCATCTGGATGCATTTCACCAATATCTCCGGTTTTAAACCAGCGTTTGCCATCCTCCTCAAAGAAATCGTCGGCTGTTTTGTTTGGTAATTTATAATAGCCCATAGAAACACATTCTCCACCAACAAGAACTTCACCCTAAGAAGGAAACGTTAATATTTTCGATAAACTACGAGTGATTACATACTTGGGGATATGGTTTATTTGTGACTCTATAGCCTCCTTCTTCCCAATTCACTAAACGTATATCACAAACTGTCAAAGGTGCGCCAACACGACCGTACTGCATATCACGATCTTTAGAATTGAAAAACAAAAGTAAACGTAATTTTAATGAAATAAATGAGTTTGAAATTGTTTTAAAGTTGTATTACAATCCATAACAGTCGCTCCCGATGTGGTTTCAGTTAAACCGTATCCTTGGATTAGATCGACACACAAACATGTTTTTATCTGCTCATGTGTGTCGGGTGAAAGTGGTGCTCCCCCGGACATCATAATACGAACACGTCCTCCCATTAGCTTGGCAACTTTCTTAAACACGAGTCTAAAATTTTTTTTTTTGAAAAATATTACTGATTTTTTTTTTTGAAAAATATTACTGATAAACAGTAATAGTTAAAACAAAAATCAATAAGTGTTACCTATCAATCAATGGCGTCTGGTATCCTTTTTGTGTCCACTTCACTTTGTATTGGTACAGAAACTGGAACAAAGCTTTTTTGAATGCAGATCCGGAATTCACCTTATCATTAATGCCTTTAGATATACGATCTAATATAAGCTGATAATAGGAAAACAATTAATATAACTTTTGTTGGTAACAAAAAAACTATTTACATACTGGTACAGTTGTCATACAAGTTGGTTTTAAGACGGTAGCGTCTCCTTTGGAGCCTCTCATAATCTTACTGCTAGTGTCTATTAATGTCAAAGGCGTGGAATATCCAATCGGCACGCCCGTCATTAAACATACACTTTCGACAACCAGCTCAAATACATGAGCTAGTGGAAGAAATCTACAAAAAAATACTAAAGTATGCTTTCAATATATTTCTAATAAGTGCTTACCCTATTAAGACGTCGTCGGGATAGATTGGAACGACATCGCAAAAACCTTTCATTGTTGCAATGCAGTTTTTATGTGACAATAGGACTCCCTTTGGTGTTCCTGTTGATCCAGAAGTATACATTATAATGGCGATATCGTCAGCTTTTGGTGGAACGCTCTCTGAAATAATAATAAAATAAAAAAAGTCTAGGCGTTATTTATAATAAAATTTCAATATCGCAACAAACTAAGCTGATTATTATCTTCATGCAACATTACAGTATTAACATACCAAATTTACTATCCTGGCCTAGACGTGTAACATGTCAGTCTAAGTAAAGACCCATGAGCTCTGCAATGTACTAGTAAAATATAAGCTAGCTTTATACATATTTCTCTATAGGGATATTGCACGACAGACAAGAGCATTTTTTAGCAATAAGATTGAAGCATATGGCAAAGGGTCTCTTATTATTGTAAAGCAACAGCATTTCAATTCAAGGATAAACTCCCAGAACCTAGTCAAAACTTGAAGCAACGCAACTATGTGTAGAATACGCCTGTGATTGATATGTCAAGCTCCAATTCAAGTCTTATTTGTCATAAAAAAACCTCAATGAAGTCAATAATATATAAAAGAATCTTGCTCAATACATATTGGTCTACAGGGATATTGGATTAGTCAAAATAAGTTTGTAGCAAAACGATTCACGTATGTCGCACAGAAACAGAACATATCTAACTTTTTCACATATCGCAAAATATTTGTCAGTACATCAAACCCAAATTTATAAAATGAATCAAATTTTATAAGACAAATACTCTCATATCGCATATGTCGCTCAGTATATCTGATCACGGCACTTCGATAGAAAATGTTAATGACGTCAATGCAATAACCAGAAGACTACGCACAGTTATCCATATAAAGGTATATATGAAAAGATATGCATACATCGCGGCTACAAGAGCAATGCGGACGTTTCATATCCAGCTATTGACTTGAGTTGCAAATCCCGAGAGTTAATACATACCAATCAGATCAAGGTTCCATGAGGTCTGTTATGTATAGGGATGTAAGTTTACAGGCAAGTGCATTTTCTAGCAATGTGATTAAAACATGTTTTTCAGCGCCTCGGATTGTTGTAAGCCGGTGGAACAAATCAATATTTATTGGTAACGAAAACCCTCAATACAATAACTAAGGTCGCAGTGGTGGAAACGAAAAGCGGATATATTTGAATATGCCGTATCTAGCTTAACTGTACTAATACATACACCTAGATTCCCTGTATACTTTTAATAATCTGGAGGTATTTATTAAATTTCTCATCATGTCATGATTGGTCAGCTTCAACCACTACGATTAAAACATGCTTTTCAGCGTCTCAGATTGCTGTAAGCCAGTAGAACAAGATAAGATTTATTGATCAGGAAAAGTCTCAATACAATAACTAATGTCGCAGTGGTGGAAACGAAAAGTAGATATATATGTACATAATTGAATGTGCCTTATCTAGCTTCCCTGTAAAAATAAATGCATCTGACTTCCTTGTACAAGTTTAATAATCTGGAGGTACTTATTGAACTTCTCAGCACGTCATGATGGGTTAGCTCCAATCACACGTAGGGGTACTTATAGCACCATATTTTGTTCCAAACAACAAAGCTTGATTACATCCTAATAACACATTCGAGGATGAATAGATAAGAAACCTGCAAAGGATATGTTACACTTAAGTCCAGTCGGAAGCAGCAAGTTTGATGTTTTTCTTCAATTGGATGCAGTTTTGTTTAGCCAGAAAGAGTGAAAAGAACATGAAATGGGTACTCATGTTGTATATCAATATTTCAAGATTTATCGGAGAAATTAGTGACATTTGGCCTATAGGAAACTACGCATAGTATGGTCATTCATATGTAAACTTGTATGTCATACAACTAATTTGAAAATTGTTTATACAAATATTGGGATTAGGAATATTTGAAATCTTTCCATTTTAGGTATGTAGTGTCTTTAGCAATATTACTGATAGCAATTATTATCGAATTTTAAGTTAACCTTGAAAGTTTACGTCTGGTGGTAACCAAGAATAGAAAATATTGGGTTTAGAGTTTCTTGAAATCATTGCATTTTTGGTATGTAGTGTCGTTAGGAATATTTTCATCTCAAATGTTAACTATCAAACGACTAGGTGGTGGGCTCTTTTCAGTTCCTTTTTCCAAAAAATAATTAAAGATAATTTCAATCTGTGTTACAGCAGTTAAGCACATTCTACAAACATAACATTTTACTGTATCTCGACGAAGAGGCCTTTTCAGTCGCCTTATGCAAAAAATAATGAAAGCTCATTTCAATCTGGGTTACAGCATGTTAGCTTATTCTACAAACGTAACATTTTACTGTAAGTCTCAGAATAAACCAAAGCTCGAAAATTAGTCTATACGTCAAAAATCTTATATATATTATATATATGAAAAGTTATTTTAAGATCGCAATTATTTAGAGTTTGTAAAATTTTTTCTACAAGATGTCTTTTAGATGGATGGTATGAAGGACAAAAATATTCTGTATCAAACTTGTGTGTAAATCATTAGAGAAGAGCAATTGATACGTATAATACAATACTGAATATGTAGACGATAATGACATATTCTACATCAAATTTCACTATATATCTCCAAACAAACTATATATTTATATTTAATAGTTTTCAATAAATTTACATATGGACAACAAATCATTTAATAAATTAATTGATAATACCACGCATTGCCGAAATGAGCCAAAATCTGCAATAATACTGCGTCTAAGGAATATTGCCCCGAGAGAGTTTGTCAGACTCCTAATGGGCGCGTCTACAGGCGGTGAATAGGGGGAAGATCGATGATCATACTATCTTATTACAATAACTGGAGGTAATATGATAGTATGATCACCTTTAGGGCTTTGTCTCCGCAGTCCAAAACTGTATATGGCGGTGACGCCTAAAACAAAAAATATGGACCTTACAGAAACGAATAACATTACTGTGCAGAGCCTAAATAACTAAGTACCGCTTCTACATTATTACAAAAAGAGTCGGTCTATTTATCCCCATATTTAGCTTTAACGCATGGGTGAAATGCGAATAAATGGATAAACTGCATTTATCACCATGCTTAACAGTACTCCTTGACTCATTGAAAAAATGGATAAACTGTATTTATCACCATGCCTAACAGTACTCCTTGACGCATGGGTGAAATGCAGAATAAATGGATATACTGCATTTATCACCATGCTTAACAGTACTCCTTGACTCATTGAAAAAAATGCAGGATAAATGGATAAACTGTATTTATCACCATGCTTAACAGTACTCCTTGACGCATTGATAAAATGCAGGATAATTGGATAAACTGTAGCCTACAGGACATAACCCGCAGGGACAAAATAGGACAAGGAACGCCTTAGGGAGTCAATATCATACGCGTCTATAGTCTGGTGGACAGCGATGGTGAAAAATTGTGAATCCATTACAAAAAGTCCAGAGAACGTGCTGCCTAGGTATATGTGAGGAAATGCGGACAACACTAACTGGGACTTTGGAGCCAATATTGTATACACAACCAATTGATATACAAATCAGATCCTTCACTGTAGTTTTAATGTGAAACTATGATAGTGATAGGATAGCGGAACACTAGCACAAATGCCCTCGGCCAACAGTTGTTACACATATTACTCCCGACTAGAAGGCAAATCGGGACTAAGACTTTTTATTGAAAAATCGGGAACCGAAAGTTCACTTCGTCTGCAAAATCACTTACTGAAGTCCTACATTCTACCCACTATAGACGGAATTTGCCAAACATTTTAGCGCAACACTGCTAGAAATTAGGTTATGGGCGAAGGAAAAAGAAGGGCGCTGATAGGCCTTTCATTGGCTTAAGTGTAAATCATATCAACCTAATTTCAACATGTAATTCAAGAAGAGTTCTAACATAGAGAAGAAAATAGTACAGTTTCAAGTGCCACCAAGAAGAGGTAGCCTGGCAATTGTTGAAGATACACCAGATGAAAGAAACACATTTAACGCTGCATATAATTTTTTCAGTTCACTGCTAAGAAAAGAACTTTTTGGTCATTACTAATTGCTATAAATCATAAAGCCCTGTGCAGTAGAATATGGAACTTCCCGCATATATCCAACACGCCATTAAGGCAAAACATACAAAAGTCTGGAAAACGAGCGCTGCGGAAAAATAAACTTTGATTCAATAAAGGAACTTTTTGGCATTACAAAAGGATGAGTACTTCCACTATCTGCAAATTGAGAGCAAAGGTCACGATTTTTATTCCAACAGCAAACCATCCTGTGCCTTCGGATGAAAATTACTGTGAAGCTATGCCCATTATATGTGGGCACTTCCGCGGTCACTTACACGACTTTCGGAGGTAAAATACTTCTTTAAATGGGAACATAAATCAACACAAAAAAATGTTTTTCAGTTCATCCCTAATAGTTCTTTTGTGGCATTTTAAGAATACTATCAGTAGTAAAAAATTGAGTAAAAAAATTCACTCACACGACATCAAATATACATGGCTTTAAAAATCTTTGATAATATTGGGATAACTCTGCGAATTATGTGCAAACTTTAGACAGTTTTGACATAAATAAGAAATATCAAGCATTAGTATTGCAACAATGATTCTTCAAAATTGGGTATGTCCTTTTTGCAAACGATTTTTCTGGGTAAAAATAATGGCAAAATTTGTCTTTCTTTGTACTTTTGGCTGTAACTTCACTTATTTAAGTGCAATTAAATAAATACGTTCTACGGCTTTGTTTGACCTTTTACCGTAAATGTCCATATGTTCACTTCGGAAAGAAAAGTTGATAGAACATCAAAGAGGTATAGGTCAACTGCGCTGATACATATTCTATTGATGGATAATGACGGATATACTACAATAGTATATAACTATGCTTTTTCAGGGAATTCATAACTTAATTGCAGAAATATCGAGTGTTGACAAACATGATTTGGTTGGCCCTACTGAGTATATAACTCTGCTTTTTCAGGGAAATCATATTTAATTTCATAAGAAATATCGAGTGTTGCAAACATGATTTGAAATAGATAACATGAAATTGTACTAAAAATTATTTTTAGCTGAACCAATTAAATTTT